TTCCCCTCCCCCGCCTCCTGGTGAATACATAAAATCCGAAGTGGCTAGGTGTGCGGTCCTCTCTCGCGCTGCGGGCCTCCCCTGCCTACCTCCCCCAGGCGGCTTGGGCTGGAGAGAGCAGCGCCCTGGGACTTGGGTGCCGGCTGTGGGTGTGAAGGTTTAGACGTTAGGCGCTCGCTCCGCAAGCCCCATCCCCCAAGAACAGTCTGGGGACCCAGGAGTGGGAAGAGAGTAGGGGCGTTGTGGTGCTGGAGCTGAGGAAGAATAAAATGTGCAGTTGAGTGTGTTGCTCGCATCCCAGGGAGCAATGCAGGGCTGATTGTCTGTTGCTGAGATAGCCTTTTGTTCGGAACATAAGGTTTAAGAAACACACACACGTTTTCTGGGGTCTCTTGTTAGATGTAAATGTGCTGCATCCAGACGCTTACTATGCAGTGTAAGCTCAGTTGGTTTACTAATCACCCCGCCCCACCCCCAAACAATCAGGAGCATTTCAATGGGAACCTCATTCAGACTTCTAGGCTGAGTATTGCCTTCAACCTATTTCATTCTAGACTAGCCAACCATCCAACTGAGATAATAAAGCAAACAATAACATTTGATCATGATGTCGACGAGATAATGTGCCCGGCAAAGTTCTTTAGGGATTGTAATGAGAAAGAGAGTGAGTTGGGTAATCATTTCTCTTCGTTTTCATTAAATATGGTTTTAATAGATAAATGGGCAGTTCATGCTTTGGCCTGGTGAGCATCTATTCCAGTATTGCAACCATGCTAAGAACGAAAGAGTCGAATAGTGGATTCGACTAGAAACCCATCAAGCTGAAAATGTTGCCATTGAAGGTTCAAACTTAGAACCTGCTTGTTTAGAACAAAACCTCCTCCTAAGGGTGTTAACGTTTCTCCCCCAGCTTCTAAGCTATTTAACAGACTAATGAGCAGCTCTCCAGATGCTGAAATACAGCCCTTAAATGTACCAAATATGTACTTTGCAATTAATTTCAGTCCCCCGTTCTGATTGTTTTCTCTCTTTTGAATGGCTAGCCAATGAGTGGGTGCATTTAACTGACACAATGAGATGACGCATAATTTTGGTTAAATTTAGGTAAATGACAGAATTTAAAAACAAAAATAAAATAAATGGTTCAAAATTTGACCACCTATTTCTAGGGAATGATATTTCTCTTCAGAAACAAATTGACCTTTCTATGCCTACCTTTTTTTTTTTTAACTAGGCTTTGAAATAAGACAGAAGAACTTTATTCTGAAGCGACAGAGAACAGTGAAACTCCTTTAGTTGTGTTTTACAAGATAGCTTTGGAAGTGATATTATGAAAAGTTCATCGTTGGATTTCGCCACAAAGACCTAAGTGTAAGAAAATATCTGTGGGCCACTGTTGGATGGAGGACAGATGAATTTAAAAGGAAAGAAAAAATACTGTGAGGAACTCATAAATTCAGTGATTGCCCACTTGGGGACTGGCAAAGGGAAGTCCTTCAGATGTACAGTGGCTGCTCTGTACAATTTAGGCAACATATCCCTGTCCTGTTTGTTAACTAAGTTGAGAACTCACCAACCTTTAGCACTAAATTCCTAGTAGTGCACTTACAGTTGTGAGTTATATGTGCATACCTGTAACATATGTAACTACACATACATACTTCATATGTAGAAAAACAAAAATTGTAGTCTAATGATAAACGCGCAGCAATTTATTTGCAATGGCTGAAACAAAATGACCCTTACTTTGAAAAAGGTGGAAGGAAAAGCCTGGTAAGCAAGAGTATATTGAGACGTTACCTAGTACTTTTTCAATTGCTTATATATTTGTTCAAAAGACGTAAGTAAAATCTATTGCTCAACATACAAAAGAATGTGATTAACTTTGGAACAAAAGAAAGGAAAATTTACAAGAACTTTGCATATGTTTGGACGGAATTTTTACATGGTTCAAAATTTCATAGACTCCAGAGGGGGAAAAGAAAGAAGGTTTACACAGCAGAATGTACATTGTGAGATTTGCCTGACTAATAATATCCACAGTGGTGTTCCTCATAGTGCTATGGTGGCAGCTCTGTTTTCTATGTGGATCAAGGCTGCTTTTCTTACAATTACTTTAAGTGTTGGAAGAGAAAACTTGACTTTGTTTTCCACCACACAGTTTCCTTGCTTGGTTTTCAGAATGGGCATGGTTTTTGTTGTCTTACTAACACCCCCTTTCTTAAAGTGTATGTTTAAGTGGTGTGTTAGCAGTCACCGTATCCTACCTGCATTCATTGTGAAGGCTTGTATTCATTTATTTTTAAGGCTTTTTTCAAAGAAAATGTTTCTGTTGGAACTTTCATCTCTGTAATATATGTGTGTTTTATGAAACTTTTCTGTGACCGCGTGGGAATAAGAGATTGAGTCTTTAAAGAAAGTTGATTGGCCAGTCCATGAAATAGTCAATTCAGTGTAAAACTCATTTCACTATTCTGCCCCTGTCCCCACCCCTCACCCCACACCACCCCCACTGCAGTAGCCCTTTCTGTATTTTTTTTCTTTTGGTTATTTATATATTTTTTCATTGACTTTTTGTATGCTATAGAAGAAAAATATAGTGAATTCCTATCACACGCTAGATTTGGCTTGGACTTTTTAAGAAAATCCAAAAAACAACATGGCTCCCTCCCACCTTTCAGGAAGAATGAGTGTGTGTGTGTGTGTGTGTGTGTGTGTGTGTGTGTGTGTGTTTCAAGCTAATTCCAAGGGGAGTAATTCTTTTTGTTCCAGCCCCTTCTCCCCCCGTTCTTATTCTCGAGACACATATAAGCAATATACAACAAAAGTGAAGGGTACTGAAATCAGCAAGAGGATGTGGGATGTGATTCTGCAGTTGACCATAGGCCTGTCTGCCCTGGAGGAAAGAGACTGTGAGCTGGGTTGGACACATAGATGCACTTTACCTGTGTGACTGAAGAGGCAAAAGCAAAGAGAAAGGAGTTATAGACTAAGGTGACAAGATATTTGAAAAAGAAAAGCAAGATTAGGGGGCTGATATGTATGTTTTTTCATTAAATGCTGAACACAGATAATTTCTATTTATTCTTACTGTAGTGATTCTCAGTTTCAAATTTAACTATCAACATTTTAATAAAACATAAAACTAATGATTGCTTCAAAAAATACTCCTGGGTTTACTGTGTGTTTGACACTGAGGAATTTTTCTCCTCCTGCTCACAAAACCTGTTGTCCATCTTGCATTCAGGCCAATTAGTACATGGCTATTCCATTCAATCGCGGTTTCTCTTGAGGATCACCTTCTACTCAGACTACCACACACACTATACCACACCTCTCCTCCAAAACACAAAGAACTCATAAAGACCTTGACCTTATTTTAGTGTAATTATGCAATTTGTTCAGAATTACCTTAGAATCCAGATACTGTCAAGTTGCCTTAGATGGGTCTATTTATCTCCTCCACCATCTATCCCTACAGCTGAGAAACCATTGGGATATCCTGTTAGGTTCACTTAAGATGCTCTCGTGGTTATACAGAAAAGGTCTCTGAGAATCACCTGAGAATTACTTGATTTACTTCCACTTGAACTGGTGGAAGGGTTCATACGTGTGTTGTAATTTCTGCCTAGTTTTGCATGGCTCTCAATTTCCATTTACAAAGTACAGATAGAGTACTCACAGTGGTTGCACCTAAAATTGCGGAAGATTTAAAGAAAACCAACACTAACAGGTTACAGATGAGGCCATAGAAATATCATTGAACATGAACGTGGTATGTGCACTCCTAAAGGGGCTCAGTGCAAACGAGCATATGAATCCTTCCAGGAAAGGGGGGGCCATTGACCTGGACTTTTCAGTTTCAGTCTTTATGCTCCAACACAGGAAACTTTGTAATTTGCAGTCATCATCTGTTTTTCACTTCTGTACCTTTTCTTTTATTGTATCCTTTGCTCGAATTCACTTCTCTTCTATTCGGTGATTCTCAGCCGTCACCTATTGTTGTTGCATGCTATTGAGCCATGCCTACCACCCACTTACTCCATTCATAAAAGCCCAAACCAAACTCACTCACTCACTCCATTCATCAAAACCCAAACCACTGTCATTGAGTCCAAGCTAACTCATAGTGCTCCTATAGAGCAGGGTAGAACTG